GATTTTTGTAATTTCTTTTGATTTGTTTTTAATTTTATATTATCATACTCTCATAATAAAGTTATTGCGAAACTACCACACTTTAAAAAAAAAAAAAAAAAAAAAAATAAGTTTATTATTAACTTTAATCTTATAAAATATGTTTATAAGAAAGAAATGACTATATAAAATATAATTAAGGGATTATTATAATTTAAAATAATACTTAGAAATCTTCAATAATAATTTATTTTGCAAATATTTTATAATCTAATTAATTTAATTTAATTTATATTTATTTAGAATTTGTATTTAATTATCTAATTTATATTTTATTTTATTTTTATAAAATAAATATTTTATAAGTAATATTATTTTTATATAATTTATGATAATAATTTTACATTTATATTTAAAAATTTATAAAAAATAAAGAAATATTTATTTATAATTATATTTTTATATTTAATTTTTTTTAAAAAAAATAAAAATAAAATTGCTTTATAATTTATTTTAATATTTAATTAATATTAAATTTATTATTTAACTTTTTAATCATTATTATGATAATTAGAATTTGCTTAGATGAAATTAAATCATTAATTTTAATTTTATTTGATTTGATTTAATTAAATATTCAATTGGATTTGATTTGATTTGATTAATTAAATTAAATTAAAATTTTATTTATGAAATTATAATATAATAAGTAATTATTATTATTAAAAATATATCTTTAATTATTATAATTATTTTGATTTTTTTTTAAAAAAATCAATTTAATCCTAAATCTTAATTAGGAATTTATAAAAGAATAAACAAAATTAGTGATAATAGTAAATAAATAGACAAAATAATCTGAATAGTCTAGATTTTTCACTTTATATTTATATTTTCTAGTTCTATTTAAGAAAGGAAATTCAATGAATACTTAATATGATTTTTGAGATTTGAACCGTTTAATCCAACCTATTAGGATTCTAATAATCAATCCTATTTATATTTTCACCAAGAGAGAAACATTTTTTCGTAAAAATTTATCAGAAGCTTAATTTATAAAAATGATTAATTTCTTGATAAATAACTTTCATTAACACATCAGCTTTTATTTATAATAATAGTTTGATATTGCAAATAAATTTGATAGAAATTAAAAATTTTCGTCAACATAGAAATTTGGTTTAATATTGTCTATTTCCTTTGGCAAAAAGTAATTAGAAATCTTTTTGTTTTATGAAAATAAATTTGAAAACAAAAAACCGATTAACATTCGATGCGGTAATTTTATATTTAATTTCAAATATTGAGAACGAATTCTGTTAATTTACATAATAATAATATACATTCAAAAATCATCATAACTGCACACATTTTTAATTTATCAATACAGCCAGGAATAAAGTTAATTAATGATCTATATACAAAGACTTAAGGATCAAAATTGAGAGATTTGTATATGGTTCAAGTTGATGATTCATCTCTTTCAGGAAAAAACATTGAAAGGATATCACTAAGAGTGATAACACCAATAGGAACGTCATCTTCATCCACTACCCAAGCTCTATGAACTTTGCTACGGATAATTCCCGCCATTACTTGACTGAGAGTAAATTTACCATGACAAGTTAAAGGTTTAATTAAAGCTCCTTTGCAACTCTTTAAAAACATAATGACAGGTTTCTTTAAATCTGATAATCTTTCTCGATTCAACCCTCTTAAATCCGCAGCGCTAACTTCTCCAACTAATCTTCCATCATCCTCAACAACGGCAACAGCACTAACTCCATCTTGATGAATTTTTCTAAAAGCAGTTAAGGCTTGATCATGAATTGTAATTGAGGAAGGATTTTCTAATAAATTTATTCTTCCACGATTAATCAAACGAATCGCCCTGTTAGATACCTCAGAGGCAGAAGTATCTAAAATTTTACCTAATTGATGATTATGATGAAATAAAAATCTTACAACATCAGTTTGAGATGCAAAGCAAGGTTTAACCTCATCTTCATTGATAATTTCTCCATCATCTTGTTCTTCAATTGCTCTTCGTTCAGCCACTAAAACTCTATGAATTTGTTTTAGAGTAAATAATTCTAACAAATCAATCAATGAATCTTCCGGATGACATATTGTAAGATGTGTACTTTCAGTTGATAACCCAATTAATTCACCAATAGGCTTTTGTAAAAAGATTGATTTACTATCAAAATTTGATAAATCACATTCTTCACCATTATTATTTGTCTATAATAACGAAAACATTAAAGATAAATTATTTCCAACTGGTTGTTCAAATAGAAACTTGTTTATCATACCTGCAAGCAAACAAAAGCTACCAGATCGAATACATTAACAATGGCAATCGGTTGCTTGTGGCCTCTCCAAAATCTATAAACCGGAACACTTAAAATATTTTCCGCCAATAAAACATCAAAAGCTTCTTCGATGGTAGCTGTAACAGGAATTTCAATAAGTTTTGAAATATTTTGTTTCTCCTTAAGAACTGAGCTTACAGTTTGCCCTTTTATAAAACTAATATGTTGTGGTGTAGAATACATTTTTTTTTTTTTTTTTAATATTAATAAGAAAAAAAAAAAAGCTGAATTTTGGGAAAAATTGAAAAATGAGTAGGTTGATATGAAATGATTTTAAATCCGATTAATATTGCGAAGTCACGAGCACCGGCAAAATCCGGCCAACTCTTATAATTAGATTAGTTGATATAAATCAGCTGATCGATTTTCCATTATTTATTATGCATTTTTTTACAAACGATTGATTTTTGTATGGCAAACAAATTTACAAAATGTAACGGTTTTATTTTAAAGTTTTTTTTTTTCAACTAATATGCCTTCAAATAGCTTACAAGTTTAAAACGGCCTAGAAACTTTGACACAAATAATAAGTCAACTAGTTTTGCTAAGCAATTTTTTAATTCCTGAAAATGAAGAAGAAATGTCTTTTTGAAGGATGCAAACTGATTATATTTGGCTCATCTAGTATATTTATCATATGACGAAAATCAAAAGATATTCTATTTACTCGAGCTTATTTAGGAATTACCTGATACAGTCAACTCTCCATAAATGCACACCCTCTATAAATACACCCTTTTATTTGGTCCCATGTTGGGGCTTATTACTAAATGCACACCTCTATATTCTACACGTGCATCATTTTTGAAGTCCGTCATATAATAAAATGTTTCTATAAATGCACGCACGTGATTTGTGTGACCTGCGTAAATTTAATATTGCGCAGTACGCGCATTACGCGCAGTATATTTCAAATATGCCGCCTAAAAAAAAAAGTCACATTAACTGATAGTCAATTATACCTTTATGCTCACAATAACAAAAGGACCCGTTCTCAATATGTAAATTGGATTGAACAAAAATGGGGGTTAAGAATTGATGAATCTACTATAACTCGAATTTTGCAAACTAAGGATAAGCGACTTGCTACAGAAGTCATTAATCCAGATGCAAAACGTCATAAGGGTGTTGTTGTTCCGGAACTTGAGCTTGCTCTCAATGAATTTGTGTTAACCTACCAGCATAGGACTATTTTAAGTGATGCTTTACTGATTGAAAAGGCTAAATTATTAGCTGATGAACTGCAAGTACCTCAGGGTATATTACAGGTTTGTTTAATTTTTATTTAATTTTATCTAATTTTTAATTTTATTCATATTCATTAATTATACTTTGTTTAATTTATTTTAAAGAGTATTAAAAATATTTTATTTAATTTTATTTAACTTATTTATATTTTATTTTATTTTTTATAGTTTTCTAATGGATGGCTCCAAAAATTTAAAGATCGTAATGGCATTCATCAAATAAAGCTTCATGGAGAAGCAGATTCTGCTGATGAAAATGCCATTGCTGAAGCTTTACCATTATTACGAAATAAATGTGCAGAGTATCCTCCTAATCGAATTTACAATATGGATGAAACTGGGCTTTTTTATCGGTATTTTTAATTTTTACATAATTTTATACAAATATCAATATTTATATTATTTCTTATATTAATATTATTTTAAGGTTAGAACCAGATCGAACATTAGCTACAAGGCAGCTTTCTGGGCGTAAAAAAATAAAGAATGTCTTTCTATTACTTTATGTGCAAATGCTGATGGATCACATAAGCTATCTCCTTTAGTAATTGGTAAATATGCAAATCCAAGATGTTTTAAAAATGTCAATATTAGCAATTTACCAATAACCTATCGGAATAATGCTAAGGCTTGGATGTTAACAACTCTTTTTCAAGAGTGGCTTCAAGAATTTGATTATCAAGTTGGCATAAAACATAATAAACAACGTGTTTTGCTACTTCTTGATAATTGTATAGTGTGTTCCATAAAAAGCCATCAAATATTTATTATATGTTTCAAATTTTAAAATTTATATAATCACGTGATAAATATAATACTGATTTATGATTGGCTAAAACATAAATAACATGATGATATAATCTAACAAATTTAACATCTGATTGATTAAAGTTTAAACTGAGAATAAACTTTATTTTATCAATTTATCAATATTTTCAAAACTAAAATCTGAAACAGTTCTGTGTAATTTATATTTTTTATAAAACATATAACTTATAAACCTATTGATCCTTTTTTATAATATTTCATAAATTTGATAATTTAAGATCAGGATATATGTTTCAAATTTAATTTGGACTGGGATTATATATTTCAAATTTCATTTCAACTTAAGAAAATACCTAAACTTTATCAGTTAATAACTTTTGATATATATTATCAATCGAAATGATCTCAACGTCACTTTATAGTATTAGTCAATATCTATTGATCTACATTGAGATATTTTAAATATATGCACTAGAAGATTTTTTATTTCATTTTTAAGTTTGATAATTTTATTGGATGGCTTATTGTGAAACAAACTGTACAAGTCATAAATTAGAAAATCTAATTCTTGAAAATGTTGAAGTTTATTTTTTACCTTCTAATATAACTTCAAAACTTCAACCTATAGATTCTGAAATAATCATATCTTTTAAAAAGCATTATTGTCATTATCATATCTGATAAGATTATTTTTAATTTCTTTAATTATTTTATTATTTATAAATTTAATTTGTTAATTTTTTTTTATTTTAGGTAGATGTTAAAACAAGTTGAAAGTGAACAGTTTATACAAGATCTAAAAATGAATGTTTTACAAGCAATTTAATATATTATTCAAAGTTGGAATGAAGTTACAGCCGATACTATTAAAAATTGTTGGAGTCATATTAAAATTCTTTCTGATGCTATTCCTTATGAAAATAATGATTTAATGCTTAATGATAATATATTGCTTGATGATAAACTTAATGAAGCAATTAAAGCTCTTCATTTACCTAATATGATACAGGTAAAAGAATTTTTAACTATTCCTGAAGAAAATGTAATTTATGAAATTCCTAATATTTCAGAATTTGCGGATATGTTTAAAAATGGATCAGTAGATGAAATAGATGATAGCACTGAAACAGAAATTATTAATACTAATAATGCATTACAAAGTTTAAAAACTTTAAATTTGTTTTTACTTTAACAGGAAAATATAAGTGAACAAGTAAAATTGGTAGGTAAAAATTGAGAAATTTATTAAAAAAGAATAAATCAATTCAATGTAATAGACTATATAGATTGATATTTTAGATAATTTTTTTGATTAATTTTAATTTTGTAATCTTTATAATTCTTAATAAATATAATATTATTATTTTATATGTAAATCACGTGATTATATTCTATAAATACATACCAACTTTGTACACTTATATTCAATCCCAAGGGGTGTGCATTTATAGAGGATTCACTGGTCAAAATCAAAAAAATCAGACATGCGAAAATCAGCCTAAATCAGCCTAAAATTGGCAAATTATCAAAAATCAGCCTAGCCGATTGGCATACATCAGAAATCGGCCAAGAAAGCTAAAATTCAACCTATCTTATTTATAGCCGATTGGCATACTTATAGCCGATTAATATATATCAAAATTCAACCTATCTTATTTATAACCGATTAACGTCCAATTGGAATGATTAAATTGTTCCTTAGGTACGATAGGTATTATCATTCCTAAGGAATGATATATTTATCATACTTTAGGTATGACGATTTTATCGTTTCTAAGATACAATGGTATTATTGTACCTTAGGAACGACAATTTTATTATAACGATAGTTTTATCGTTTCTAAGGAATGATGCATTTATCGTTCCTTAGGGATGATAGTTTTATCGCTCCTAAGGTATGATGATATTATCGTTTCTTAGGGACGATAGTTTTATCGTTTCTAAGGTATGACGATTTTATCATACCTTAGGTACGACGATTTTATCGTATCTAAGATACAATGGTATTATCGTACCTAAAGAACGATAGTTTTATCGTTTCTAAGGTATGATGGTATTATCATTCCTAAGGAATGATTATTTTATCGTATCTAAGGAACGATGGTATTATTGTTCCTTAGATACGATGATTTTATCGTTCCTTAGAAACGATGGTTTTATCGTTCCTAAAGTATGATGATATTATCGTTCCTAAGGCACAATGGTTTTATCGTTTCTAAGGAATGATAGTATTATCGTACCTTAGGTATGATGATTTTATCGTTCCTAAGGAATGATGGTATTATTGTATCTTAGGTACGATAATTTTATCGTTCCTAAGGTATGATGGTATTATCGTTCCTTAGGTATAACGATTTTATCTTTCCCATAGGAATGATGGTATTATCGTTCCTTAGGGATGATAATTTTATCATTCCTTAGGGATAATTGCTAAAATAATATTGATTTAATGTACTATTTGAGTTTATTTCTGGTATATAGGAATATTTATATAAATAAGCTTA